AATAAATTCCGATGAATTAAAATGGGTATAAATACCTCTCCGATCGTTTCTGCTTTTCTTACGAGGATCCCCAACTTCCGGAGACTGCGGCCTGGACTTGGATCGCGACGGCGGCCCCTTGAAACCGCGTCCTCGAAAGGGCGAGACCCGGCCAGTGAGCAATGTCGGCGACGGGCTTCGCGCCTCCGGCGAAGCGGGCCTCGATTCCGCGATGATCACGAAACTGGATCGGCGGTGCGCCCTCGAGGAGGACGCCGTGGATGGCGCGAGTTTGTACGGCTCGGGTGCACGCGGCGGCGGCGGCGGTACCGCGGTCGGCGACAGGTAGTTGTTCCCGTCGGGTGCCGCGAGCACCCGGAACGGAGGCGGTCGTTGAGCATGGCCGTCGTCGAGCCGCCTCATCCTTTCGAGGCCCCGAAGCTGTAACCCGAAAATCAGAACAGTTTCTTTTTAATACAACACTATCGTCGTTGTCAATGAACCCCTACTGTACTACCTGAACACTAGATTGCCGGATGTTGAGTATATACCTATTTTATCTGAAACGAGTCAATTTGGCCCAAACATCAAAATTGAATTTTTTTTTAGTTGTTTTTAAAATACATTTTCCGCACATTTTTTTATTACATTTAGCACAGACGCTCCGGCAATCTAATGTTAATAAATCAATCATAATTATTAAAATTAGATTTCTAGACACATCATTTACGTTTATAGTTTTGTATATTATTATATAAGTATTTCTAGATGTATTTTCACAATCGTCATGAGATGTAGTAGTTAATTTAATAAAAATGAGAAACAACTTATAGTAAATTATATTGAAATAAATATATAATTAACATCTGTACACTTTTGTGTCATATGAGTTGGATACTTTGTTATGCAATAAACTAATACATTCATAATATTTTTCAGATAATTTAAAATAAAACCATTCATGTACACTACGGAAAGCTCGTACAATCGTAGATGTAGTATATGTTTTTAAATATTAGCATTATCCATATTCCAAAATTTCTTACTAAAACAGTCTAGTTTGTATGCATCCAATTTCCTTATCTGTCTTAGTTCTCCTACGCTTTCCTTATTTGTGTTACATCTGTGTACGTTGTTCCGGCATCATTTACACTCTACACAATCGTGATTCAGTGTCCCAACGGGCCAATGTACGGCAAAGTAGTTTTCGTTCCCAACTTTATAATTCCAGCTACCTAAGCAATATTTGCCATGATATCGTGCTATCGCTCGCTCAAACCAAACTTTCTAGTCTTTTTTGCCGCGATAATAACACCTCCATGCGACGAAAATTCTATATACACGACGCTGAACACTTTAATAGCAGCCAGGCAAATTATGTAAGACATTTTGCAATCACCTTTTTTGTGTCATTTTAGCAGTATTAATTCTATTTTTTTATTCGAGCACCGAACACGTTATTTTGTTCGACTATCATCTATAATAATTTAATAATTATATCATATGCTGCGTCTCTCTTCGCCTTATCACGGTAATCTTTAAATTTAACACAACAGAGATATGAGTGACTTTGAATAAAATCTTTAAACAATTGATATACATGTTCCCTTTTACTAGTGCAAGCCCGGGTTGTAGAAGAACGCATAATTGGAACTCAATCAATTTTCAAGCCGCTCATCCTTTCGAGGCCATCTTTTTGAGGCTTACAATTTAAATGCTTGTGCAAATTTATCATACGTACGTTCAAGTGTGCTTATATACAAGAAGATTTATCATACATGCTTGTCAAGTTTGCAGTTACGTATGAAACCTCGTTTATACGTTCATGAAGTTACATTATTTTTGAATGATTTAATTATCAATGTATAAAGAAAGTTACGGTACCTCGAGTCCTACATGCAGACGACCAGGATACGGCGCACGCCAAAATACGTTCTCGCTCTCACCTGAAACATAAAAATTGCATCTAAAAACAAACTAACGAACATTCCCATTAAAAGCTAATGGAATCTTAGTTTATGCAAATTTTAAATTTGCATAATGAAAAACTACAATCATGAATAACTTGCAAGCCCGGGTTGTAGAAGAACGCATAATTGGAACTCAATCAATTTTCAAGCCGCTCATCCTTTCGAGGCCATCTTTTTGAGGCTTACAATTTAAATGCTTGTGCAAATTTATCATACGTACGTTCAAGTGTGCTTATATACAAGAAGATTTATCATACATGCTTGTCAAGTTTGCAGTTACGTATGAAACCTCGTTTATACGTTCATGAAGTTACATTATTTTTGAATGATTTAATTATCAATGTATAAAGAAAGTTACGGTACCTCGAGTCCTACATGCAGACGACCAGGATACGGCGCACGCCAAAATACGTTCTCGCTCTCACCTGAAACATAAAAATTGCATCTAAAAACAAACTAACGAACATTCCCATTAAAAGCTAATGGAATCTTAGTTTATGCAAATTTTAAATTTGCATAATGAAAAACTACAATCATGAATAACAGTCAAATGTGCTAATCACAAAATCTGTTCTAATAATATAAAATAAGGAAAATAGTTGTGTAGGTGCAGAACCATTAATGACGCGGTGACAAATTCTTTTGATAATTTATTGAGTGACCTTTGACTCAAATTAAATATATTATACAAGATTGATCTTATCTAAGATTGTGTTATACACTGAATAATAGATACGATGTAACAAGTGACTTCCTTTCAGATAATAATAAATAAGTTCGCCTTCAGAATTGTAATTTATACCAGTTGTAATGGACGTCAATTGTAAATTTGAGAGCTTATGAAATACTGTTTTATTAGCGAGCAAACAATAGTCAAATTACAACTGCAGCGAAACAACCACGCGTTCTGCACGGTTACGCGAGAACAAAAACTGCCTTTGGTCCCCGGAAGCGGTTGCAAAAAGCGTTCCCTGAATCATTCTATCCGCCCGGCTCCTTCTAAAGCCTTCTGGTCTGTTTCTACTCCTTTCTCCGGTCCGCTTTCGGATCAGATTGAAGCGCAGCCTGGCAATTAGGCGAGGGCTGCAACATCCGTTATTATTCGTCGACTGTTGCAGTAATTATTCACTCTAGTTCCAACGGGTCCTGCCTGTCGGCCGAACACCGAGCCTCCGCGCATTTTATTCACGCTCTCATAGCTGGGAACGGCCGGCTCGATCGCACGATGCTTAGCTTATTACCGTGACGCTGATGAACTACATTCTTCGCGTACATGTTCCTCAATCACTTCCCGTGCACGCGGTTTTTTTTTTCATTTCTATCGTTTCTGTATGATTATACAAAAAAACAGAATGGATGATAACGACGACAAAGTCCTCCTGCGATAGTTGTCGTTAGGAAACCAGAAGTTTCCTTAAAGATTCTTGAATATTTTTAATAAACGTCTGTTAAGTTGCAAATTTTTTCAGACATTCCATTATTTACTTGGAGACGTTGTCTCGAGAAACTGCATCATTTCGAGCATACAATTATGTTATATTTTTTTACTTCACTCGATGCACTATCATTTTTTACACACTTCTCCTTGCTTCGTAAGGAAATCCTTTTAAAAACAGGCATTATTATACTGCATGAATTATGTAATCTCTTCGTAGTGATAGGAAAAAAAAAAATTATGCACGTTATAGAAGAATAATTTGATTCGTGTTTACAGTTTTATTCCGAATAATAACGAGCGAAACACGCGGAGAAATGGGTCAACGGAATGTTACGAAGCGGTCATTCGGCGAGTTTATTATCACGATAAATCTTCTCTGATGATTTCGCTGCTACTATGTTCTTAACATACATTCCGTTATAAGTAACTACGATAACCAAGCAATAATTCTGTACCTCAGCTACAGTCTAATTTTTTAAGTTATTAGTCTCCTGACGATTCTTCCATATTGACGACTGTTTCGTAACAGTTTGAGTACAGTTTATTTAAATTTGTATTTTAATCACTCTTTATTCACTATTATAAATAATCACTCTCGTAACGCAGAGAATTCAATTCATAGAAATCCGTAACATAACATAAGAATCAATTCACATAATTGTATTAACAATCCATGAATGCTGTGATTATGCGTATACACATGTTGTAGTGGACACTTTAGTGAAGCACTTATTTTTAATTTGTCACATGTAGAGAAACACAGTACTTATAAAATCAATGGAAAATTGCATTTTTACTTATGACGTACTGTAAAAAGAATCAGAATAATCACAGAAGCAAGGCTGGGAGTCCAAGTGCCATCCGGGGTGAACGAAGGATCTTGTAGACGTTCTCCATGCCGATGGTGTCCGAAGTATCTGCATCGCGTCCAATGACATCCCACGAGTCTTCGCCGACTGGACACGGTGCGATCGATGCAATGATCAGCATGAAAAACCGACGTGGAAGACAAGATCTCGTGGCCGAAATGTGATTCACGATTGCACGCCTCGCCAACCCGAGTTGATATACAGTGGCCCGTTTGCGTTTCGAATTAATGGACAGACCAACAACTGCGCGTATGTAGTGTTACTACGTAAATGCTATGTTTCTTGAAAATTATTGCACGCTTTCTAGAAATCTGTCTCCCGTGAATCAGACAAGGCTATCTCCTACCAGATATGCCTTTTTCACTTCAGCACGAAAGAAGATTGTGGAGGTGGAAAGAAATTTTGTATAAAAGAAATTTCTTCATTTAGTTCAATTATTTTATGTAGAATATGAATAGAAATNAGAGCACTAATAAACACATAATAGGAATTTTGAAATATAATAATGAATTCTATTTGAAATTGAATTAAATAAAAGAAATTACAACATATTCACATGTGTAACTGTGATATTTTTATGAATAGAACACTTTCATTCGATTTATCCAATATAACATTGAGTGCGATGCAAATGCTAAAAAAAGAAAATACTTAACATGAAGCACAGTTATTCCAGAAATTCCAGTAATTAAATTACGTTATGAGGAATTCACTGGACAGATCTAAACGTGTAAACCGAAGCAAATATACCATATAAAAGTGTATAAAGCTATTCGAATTTAGATAAAAATTAACCATACAATAATAGTAATGAATGTAACCATGTATGATGACGGCTAACTCTTAATCATGTAGAATAATGCAATGCAGCGGGAGTTGTTGAAAAAGATTCATTTGTGACCTTGACATCATGAAAACTACACATGAGATACAAATGTGCAGGAGCACGTGATGGACGATTTTCCAGGCGCATTTATATGCACCGTGCACTCTATCTAATTGCAATCAAGAGTTGAGAATGCGGTGAAAGCGAGAGGGATTGTAACTACTATTTACTTCTTACGACTAATCTCCTTATAGTAACAGTAATCAAGTTCTCTTGTAATAACACATTCTGAATGAAAATAGAAAATGAACGAAAGAAAATGCATAAATTAATCTATCAATTAAATGCATTTTACTCAAGCCTTGATTGTAAATAAGCTATTTTAGGAAATATGACTTCATTATTTCATTTCATACTACAATTAATCTAAATTATTTAATTAAATGCGTAGACAACGTAAAGTTTGTCAGAGATTACTCTATTAATTAGCTCTTTAATCAAACAACACGTGATTGCAGAGAGAGAAACGTCTCTCCGCTCGGATTCGCCTCATTTCTATGGCAACTTAACACTTGTCAGCATAATAGGGCTGGTTTAACGAGACCCGGCTGAAATCCATCACCCACGAGATCGACGTTATAAATAACGATTTAGCGGCGATGAGCCGAGGCGAAGCAGCACGTGTACGTCACTTTTAATTAGCACCCGTTACGCAATTGCGTTTAATTAACAGCCGCTTTTCAGGCGAGCTCGCAGCTTTACTTATTTATCGCGCTCACGGTCTCTAACCGCTGAACTGGGGCCACTCCAAATTCAGGATTTCTTATTTCTTTAGAGAAATCGTATACTTAACAGCAAAGCTCATTAATCCTCAATTAAGATCACAAATGCCAACTAATTTTTACTATTTTTGATCTCTGCGGTTTTTCGTTCATGTTCGTTAAATTAATTCAGTGAAGGAATATAAAAGATTCATGGAAGTATAGTAATACATGTGTCTGTAACTGTGACAGTGAATGACTAGAAAGAATTAAAAATCCTTCGGTCGTTAATAATACACGATTAATTAGTAATTTCCTGTTTATGACCTAGTTGATGATGACAACAGGATGTTGCTTTCACATTTGATTCGAATTCGATACCCAGAGACTTCAATTTAGGTGTCAATCAGAGAGGGATGATGGGGAATCAGTGTGCCGTTGAAGAGAATGCAAAACGTTGGAATCGGTTTCCCTGCGAGAGTTCAACGGCCTCTCGTATGCTCTTCTGTATAGGTAAGCACATTATATACCTGTGTGTTCCGTCGGCCAAGGAAGTTGCGCCGCGGCCGGCGTAACGATCATGTAATAGCTGATTATTTCGTGGGGCAGTCGAGCAGGAACCGGCGAATTAATTGTTTGTTTCGCGAATAGACGGCCGCGCAACGAGCAACTGTTCGTTTTGTTCTCCCGTGAATGTTTGCATGGATGCATCATTGTTATCCGGACGTCGCATGTTGTAATGTCTCTTGGTTACAACAGTTTGTTTCTTTTTCAAGAATAGAAACCCATTAAACACTCTGATTGTGTTCGAGGAATGAAGAGAGGATATACCAGGGAATTTCTTTTTATTTATTGAAAGGAAACTTCAATCGAGAACGATTCGAATGATTGAAAATCAGTTATATCATTAATAAAGAAGTTTTAGTTCTAAACTAAAAAAGTGTAAGGCATTTAGTAAAAAAGGAAGAACACGTTTCCAAAATAGAATAGATAGAATTTTAAGACGCTGTTTTTAACATCAAACGACATTACGAGCGTCAAGTAAGGGACGGAAGAAAGCTTCCCCGATGCGGTAAAAT